CAGAAAACCGGAAGTAACGCTGTAGCTCAAGTGGTAGAGCGCTCGCCTTGAGCTGAAGAGCTGAGGGACAGCGCCCAGGCTCAGAGTTCAAGCCCCACGACCGACAAAAAAAAAAAAAAGCAAAAGCATAGGAGCCATTTATCTGGGCCCCAGTGATGACATGAGAAGTACTCCACAAAACTGCAGACTCCTACAGCCTAAAGAATGTCACTGGAGCACCTGGATCCCAGCAATCAGAAGCAACAATCTGAGTGAACAAACACTTTTTGAGAATAAAAAGGAATTAGCAGAAAAGGGATAAAATAAGGAGATTTTTTCAATTTCAAGGAACTCAAAAGACCAAATGATAGTAATAATGTATTACTATACAATCTTTGACATCACTCATAAGAAAATGCTTATTTGTGTCCACTGTAGTTTAAGAAAACATGGAAATGCTGTTGGCAAAGTATGGGCCAAATATTTTTTTTTTAAGTCTAAGAGCGCAAAGCTAGAAATGAAATCACTGATTAGCTAGAAAACAAATGCATTTACTTAAGGACTACAAAAACCTGCAGTTTTACTGCAAAGAAAACAACTTAGAGCTGGGTGTTGGTGGCTTATGCCAGTAGTCCTAACTACTCAGGAAGCTGAAATCTGAGGATCTCCATTTAAAGCTAACCAGGGCAATTAAACACCAATCAAACACCAAAAAAGCAAGAGATAGAGTTGTGACTCAAGTGATACCATGCTAGCATTGGGAAAAACAAAACTCAGGAGCAGAGCCCAAGCCCTTAGCTCTACAGCGCGTGCGCGCTGTAACACACACACACACACACCACACACACACACACCACACACACACACACACACACCACACACACACACACACACACAGCCTTAGGGAACAAATGATTTTCAATCAGCAAATAGTTTATGGTTTTCAATTCCTGAACCTCATTTAGTCACTTTTATCAATTCTACGGTATCGCCCATATTTAGGGAGAAATTAATATCATAAGGATATAACAAAAGTATGAAGAATTTAAGATGTAGAACCATCCAATTTTAATTTTTTGGTGGCAATTCTGTGATTTGAATTCAGCTAGAAAGGCACTTTTACATTCAAGCTATAACCCCAGTCCTTTTTGCTGTGGTTTTGTTTTTGTTAGAATAAAAACAATGATCCTATCTCTTATATTAATCCTGTGACTTATAAGGGAGAGGGAGGATGAATGAGAAGCATCTTTGAGTTTGGGAGCTGCTGAACTGTCACCTAAGCACTTACTCTGCTTTTATGTGTCCTGCTGTGAATGCTGCCCTCCACATGTGGCCCTGCAGCTGTTTGAGAGCGGTGGTCTTTCGGTCCAGAGACATCTGCCAGAATACATTATCTACCACAGCCTGGATTATCTGTTGTAGATCATCCACCCCATTCCCAGATGCTGCAGGGATTGGAACTGCCCCTTCCAGATGGGTGTCTTCTTCAGCCTTTAAGTCATAAACAAAACAAAGTTTATTTCTTGTCAATTTTTATTATTATTATTATTTTATTTTATTTGTGAAGATACTGTACAGAGGGGTTACAATTACATGGGCAGGATAATGCGTACATTTCTTACCAAGCATTGCAGCCTCCTCCTTTGGTTTACCCTTCACATCCCTTCCCAGCCTCTCCCCTCCCCCCCAATCCCAATCCTTCTCCTTCCCCCCCTTCCCCCACCCCCCCGCGCACCGACGTTGTAAAGCTCGTTTTGGACATGACAACTTGTACTTCTCATTGTTGCAACAGGTCCACCTGTATCTTTAAACAACTGATTTTTCCCCATCTCCTCCTCAAGTTATAGAAAGGTTGGACAAATGGGATTGCATAAAGTTGCAGAGCTTCTGCAGGGCAAATGACATAGCTAGCAAGATCAATAGAAAGCTCACGGATTGGGAGAAAATCTTTACTAGCCATACAACGGACAAGGGTCTCATATCTAAAATATACTTGGAACTCAAAAACAACAAATCCCCAAAGAAACAACTGCCCAATAAATAAGTGGGCGAAAGACTTAAAGAGAAACTTCTCTGAAAAAGAAAGAAGGATGGCCAATAGACACATGAAGAAATGTTCAACATCCCTAGCCATAAAAGAAATGCAAATCTTGTCAATTTTTTTAAAAGGATGTTAAAAATGAGATCACCCAAACCAGGCAGATCAGTTTTCTCCAATTATATTAGACCTACCCTAGAACTGTTACCAAAGGTTCCAAAAAGAATGACACCGAAAAGAAATGCTCATACCTGTAATTCTAGCATCTTGGGAGGCTGAGATGGGTTAGGATAGTGGTTCAAGACCAGACCAAGCATAAAAAAGTTCCTTCTCAATGAAGAGCTGGACACAATTGTGTGTACCTGTTAACTTAGTTATTGGGAAGCTTAACATAGGTGGATCACATCTAGATGCACATCTAAACAGGAAGTGAGATACTAATTCAAATTAATGAACAAAATTTAGCAGCAAGAGCACTTGTCTAGCAAGCATGAGGGCCAGAGTTCAAACTCCAGTACTGCCAAGGGAAAAAAAAAAGGAATTTTATAATTGGTACGTTTACATACCTAAGCTGAAATTAAAATCAAGAAGCATATTTTATGTGAAAAAGCATGTAACAAGATATGGTTAATTCACTCATAAAGATCAATAAACCAGGATTTTAAGAAACTAATAATTTTCTCTTTAACTGAAAAAATGGGAAACACAGAACTGGTTTATGGCTAAAATTCAATGGAAAAAGCTAATGCAGTAACAGAACTGGTTTATATTCAGCCTCTCCATTTTTTGCAAAAACCCTAACAATGTAATTACAAGCTGAATCTCCTGTAGCTGAGATCAGAGGATCATGATTTGAGATAAGCCTGGCAAAACAGTTCAAGTGACCCCTTCTCAACCAACAAGTAGACACAGTGGAACTTCCCTGCCATCTCAGCTCCCTAGGAGGCTGAGATTGGGAGGATGAAGGCCAACCAGGGCAAAAAAGTTCAAGGTTCCATCTAAACAGAAGATAAGTTCATAGTGCCTAGTGGTGCATGCCTGTCATCTCAGCTACAGCAGGAAACATAAAAGAGAAAATGTGCAGTACAGACAAGCTTGGGCAAAAACCAAACCCCTATCTAAAAACAACCAGTCCATAAAAGGGCCAGAGGCATGGTTCCTACAAAAATGCCTACTTACTCCAAGCAAACCTGAACAACTAAGTTCAAACCCCAGGACTGCTTGCTGAAAAATTATTTTAAAGGAATATATAATAGGACACTATATGTGTATACTTCAACAGGGTGAGAAAATGTGTTAAGGAAGGGAAGTATTTCAGATCAATTTTAAGTTATCTAGAAAATTCAAGAACCTCAAAGGGTATATTATTTCTCTAATCCTAACTAAGTAAAATATATACAAAGGGCATTCAATGATATCCAATGTAGGAAAACTGACAGCATTAGTGCTACATGACTTTGCCATTGAAGCAAATTGAGTAAGAAAATCAACAGGAGTTCCATCAAACACAGAACGTGGATGACGGACTGAGGAATTTGGGAGGAGATGTAGAGGCAGAATGACACAAGGAGACAAAGTTGGTTCTGAAGGCTGGGCCAGGAGAGAGCTAGATGAGAATTCTGGGGGGGGATTGGGGGTCTAAGGACCCAGGAGCACTGTAAAAGAGGACTGTGAAGGCTCATGTCATGAGCCAAGAGAGTGGAAAATGACAAGGAGCTGTCAGTGACATTAATAAAACATGTAATGAGACTGCATATAACCTCTGTATTCCAGGCAGAAAAGGTTTAGTTTTACAAGATTCTTTTATGCAATTTAAACAGCTCCTGGAAGAGGCAACTCTATAAACAAGGAACTGTTATAACTTGGTTGTTTAATTATGTACCCTGAATTCCAAAGCAGGCAAGTCACTTCAACTTCTAGCCCCTGGGAATCTGATTACAACATGCTCAGTGCATGTTCCACATCTGTAGGCATCCTCTATGCTAATGATTCTAGGGGATGTGAAAGAAAAAAGTCCCAACCTGTTTCCTTAACAGACTGACATCCTGCTGGCACTCCTCCTCTTCCCAGTGTGTTTGTAGATATTCTTTCACATTTTCTTTGATGTAAGGAAATAAAATGTCCTGGACAAGAGAAAAAAAATTATGGATGAGAGCTTGGCTTTGCGACCTACACAAGAGATCCAATTCTTATATAATCTCATCTTAAATAACTGTAACAAATTAATTAACGGAATGCTTAATGAAAATTGCTGCCGTAGTTATGAACAGGGCAGACACAGACCAAAAAAACAAATGAACCAGACCAGGAGTTGGCAAACAACCCACACACCAAATGTGATCTTGCATTTGTTAACAATGCTTTACTGAAACACATCCATGCTCATTTATTTGCAGCTACATTGGGCCCACAATGGCAGAGTTGAGGATTTGGACCAAGACTATGTAGCTCACAAAGGTTTACATTTATTTGTTACTAGGCTATTCACAGTCTGTCAACTCCTCAAATGTACTACTAGACCACAGATCCTTGACATGGATGGGTCTTGTTTCCATAGCACACTATACATAACTCAAATTATTTGCTAAATGAATGATACCAATTCAGAACTAATGTTTGAAAAAAGAATCTGATCACCACAATTTGTTCTTGGTATTCAGACATTCATTCTTGGTATTTGACTGTCTACAGAAATTGATATGCAAAACAGTTCAGTATCAACCTGACAGTAACCCATGTATTAAGAACATGATTTCTACAATGGAGGGGCTAACAATGTTCAAGAGGAAGTGTACTCATTACCTCACTCATGTAACTGTAACCCTCTGTATAATATCTTTACAATAAAAAAAAAAGAACATGATTTCTCATTAGCCAGTTTAATTTATTTATTTGGTGCCGTGGACTGAACCTAGGTGTTTTACCAATGAGCTACACCTTCAGTCCCTCTTTGGTCAAAAAGTTTACATTTCTGGCAAGGCCCCAGTAGCTCACAAGTACACTTCTAGTTATTCAGGAGGGCGATATTTGTTTGTTTGTTTGTTTGTTTGTTTTTTGGGTCCGGTCGTGGGGCCTGAACTCTGGGCCTGGGTGCTGTCCCTCAGCTCTTCAGCTCAAGGCTAGCGCTCTACCACTTGAGCCACAGCGCCACTTCCGGCTTTTTTTTTTTTGCGTATGTGGTGCTGAGGAATCAAACCCAGGGCCTCATGCATGCAAGGCAAGCACTCTACCACTGAGCCACCTTCCCAGCCCAGGAGGGCGATATTTGAAGGATTGAAGTTCAAAGCCAGCTAGGGCAGAATTCACACAGCTCCATCTTAAAAAAAAAAAAAAACACAGAAAAAAAAAGCCAGTCTAGAATAAAGAGGAGGGGGAAAATGAAGACAAGAATCCAATGTACAGCCTACAAAATTAAGAAGGGAAGGAATAGGTAGGATGGCTCAGAATGTTGAAAGGAGTGAAACCAATCAAGATATAAAATTCATAGATTCATAAAATGCTTTGTTAAATGGCAACTCCTTTTTACAACTACTTTTTTAAAAAATTTAAGCCAGTCTAGAGGTGTGGTTCAAATGAATAGAGTATCAGCCAAGCCATGAGCAAACCAAACCAGAGTGCAAAGCTGAGTTCAAACTCCAGTACTACCCAAAACACACAGACCATATATACATATATATAAACACATGTTATGTATAAACACATACATGTTATATATGTGTGTATTGTGTAATATACATGTATATGTTATATATTATATATATTACATAGCACTTAAAAACTAACATTTTTAAGTTACTTATCAACATGAATATAAACTCTAATGTATAAGTACCATTCTAATACAGAAGAGATTACTCAGGACCTCAGATTGAAGTATGATAATGTATTTCTTTAAACCCGGACCTGAAACCTAGTATCAAATTCATCTTGGTGGTGGAAACATATCATTATAGAAAAATTTATTTTTGCCAATTCAAAATATTGTACAATTGAAACAAGCTAGTTCTGATCCTCTATCCTACACTTGCTTCTTTCTTAACTAGTTATCTTCTTCCCGTGCCCCAACTCACAGCAACTAAAATCCCTCCTGGAGTATAGTGATCCTCTTAAGAGATGAAGTACTCGAAACTTATAAAAAGGTTATAAAAAAATGTAATCTGAGTCTCATATCTGACATCCAGCTTCTAAGAAGCTTCTAAGAAGCTGGATGGTTCTAAGAAGACTTCAAGAAGCACCTTGAAATCATGTCCAGGTCCTTATCTTCTGTTGGAAAGACTTTTGTTGAATACAGACTCGAAGTAGCAACCCAGGCTGTGATCAGACCCTGCCTCTTGCTAGCTATCTTCAAGAAACTTATACTTACTGGGCCAATTTTTCTTCCCTGGCTATACAGGGAATCATCCCTGGCTGCACAGGCAATCATTGACATCATTAGAGATAGTCTATGGGAAAAATGCTAAACTGTCACTTAGTATATTCTTTAGGACAGTCATTTAAAGTGGACTAGGCTCCCCTATAGCTCTAGTAACAAATAATAGCAGGGAACCCAGAACATCAACCACAAATTCACTTATGTTGATCAGCTCTGTGCTCCTGTGACAAAACACCTGAGATGATTACACTTAATGGAAGTAAAGCATATTTTAGCTCAGAGGTTCAGGTATACAAGATCACTTGGCTCAGTGACTTGGGGACTGTGGCAAGGTATATATGGCACTCTGGCAGCCAGGAAGCAAAGACAGAAGAAAAGGCGAGGGTCCCCAAATCCCCTCTTCAAGGGCATGTGCCCAATGACATTTCCTCCAACTACAAAGCTTCTACCACCTCCTGGTAATGTATCAGACAGGAATCAAGCCTTCAACACATAAGGCTATGGGGGCCAGTTAAGATCTAAACCCTAACAATACTCACATGACTAAAGCTTACCAAGTGCCAGACACTTGTCAAAGAACTCACAGATTAAAGAATTCAAGGTTTCAGACAACTTTGAACTTCTGAAGAAAGCTTCAGAAGTTGGAGATTACAATTACTGATCATCCAGGGGCTGGGAGGGTGGCTCAGTGGTAAGAATGCTTGCCTTGCATGCACCACATAAGCAGAAAAAAAAAGCCAGAAGTGGCACTGTATCTGAAGTGGTAGAATACTAACCTTGAGCTGAAGAGCTCAGGGATGGCGCCCAGACCCAGAGTTCAGGCCCATGACCGACAAAAACAATTACTGATCATCCAATAAAGTTCAGAACTGAGTAAAGACATAAAAGCAATATAGCCAAAGCTTAGTAAAATATCTAAACGTCTAGAATATTTGTATTACTTGGGACCAACAATTTAGGTGACTTCTATTTTAGTGCAAATGTTATATAACATAAAAGCACATAGTAAAATTAATAAATTGTGAAATTTTTATCCCTTCTTTTAACATACTTATCAAGTTTCTTTCTAAATAAGATAAATACAATGCCTTTAGGTTCCTTCTAAAATGCCAATAATTATATCATTGCCTAGCATGTATTACGACATTCATATGCATGCTCTAAAACACACTTTTCAGAGTACTAGGACTGAGGCCTGGCATGTATCTGGCCTTGGGCTCCATCCTTAACTCTTCAATAAAAGAACAAGAAAAAGAAGTTAGCATTTATTATACAATCCTGTCCAGTGAACACTTCACCGTAATAATTGTAATTTACTTCAGTTATATCTATTTATAGACCATTTCAAAATCCTGTAGTATAAAAAGAGAGCTGCAACTAACCATGTATTCAACAAATAAATCTATCTTCCAGGCACCTAAGAGGTTCTTAGGGAAGGAGAGCAGTACATATAACAAAAAGAGGAATAAGTGGAGAGTGTTTGCCTTTCAAGGACTGTAATTAAATTCCTCTAAACAATGAAGGGGATACTATGCAAACAGTAATTTCTATCACTCTTCAAAGCTCACTAGCAGCTTTCAGAAAGAGGCTTATTAAGTACTGCAAAAGTTTTTGGTTTATTTGTCGGTCGTGGGGCCTGAACTCTGGGCCTGGGCGCTGTCCCTCAGCTCTTTAGCTCAAGGATAGCACTCTAGCACTAGAGCCACAGCACCACTTCCAGCTCTTTCTGCTTATGTGGTGCTGAGGAATCGAACCCAGGGCCTCATGTATGCAAGGAAAACACTCTACTATTGAACCACCTTCCCAGCCGCGGTGCAAAAGTTTTTAAGATCTGGAAGGGGAGGGCAGAGTTGGGGAGGTGAGGAGGAAAGGGAGGGTGGGAGAAAAACAAAGGAGGGGGTAACAATGCTGGATAGGAAATAGAATCATTGCCTTGCTCGTGTTAACTGTAACCCCTCTGTACAGTATCTTTACAATAAAAAAATACATATATTAGAGAGAAGTTTTTAAGATCCATAAATGGTTAGAATGTTTAGATCCTCATAAATGTTTAGAAATCAAAATATAGATGTTCTTTATGGTCAAGTAGTTATATCAATGAGAAAATCATAGAATTAATATAAATAAAATTGTTTTGTAATATTCACGTAAGTTCCCTTTGAAGAAAATGGGTAATAAAAGATTTTCCCCAAAGAACAATACTTCAAAGTACAGCTATTTAAAGAAATGATTTTAAGTCTTCAAAGGGAATCAAACCACTCAGCACACGATTCATAGTATTGAAGACCTTAAATTTTTTCAGCCAGAAAATAATACAAAGGCAGTTTTAGTGTGCTACTATTTCATTAACTCCAGAGAATAAAAAGCAAAGGAAAATTAAGTGGCTTAATGGTTCTTAAAAATAAATCATATTCTCAGCTGGAGGCCAGTGACTTACTTCTGTAATTCTACCTACTCAGGAGGCTGAGATTGGAGGATCACCATTCAAAGCCAGCTCAGGCAGGAAAGTTGGTGAGACTCTTAACCAATTAACTACCAAAAAGCCAGAAGCGGAGCTGTGGCTCATGATACAGGGCGCGAACCTTGAGCAAAAAAGCACAGGGACAGCACCCAGGCCCTGAGTTCAAATCCCAGGACTGGCACACATAGTAATGATAAGTAAATAGATAAATAATACCACTCATTCACATCTATAATCACAGCTACTTAAGACCCTGAAATCTGAAGATCCTGATTCAAAGCCCTCAGGAG